TTTGATGGTCCTCCTTCATTCATGGATCTTCTGTAGTTTGATGGTCCTCCTTCATCCATGAATCAGATCTCTATATCAGTTTTCCTGAAGATCGTCGTGTGTTCCTGCTGAGCCTCACAGACTCTGGTTTGATCCTTTGACAGTTTTGGATGATTGAGGTTGAAGCTGTAAACTTTATTTAAAAAGTGTTTGTTGTAAAATCAACACTTTAATAAAAGGAAACAAAGCTGAGATCGAATATTCACGTTGATCGTCTCTCAGCGTCTCGCAGTGATGCGTTCAGGGCAGCCTCAGATAACAGAGCGCTGTATTTCACACACAGACGTTCAGAGAGACTCAAACAGGAGAGAGAGGATGGAGAACAGAGGAGGACTTTAGTGTTAGAGGACTAAACAAGGTCAGATCAGAGATATTAGTATTTTATTATTATTATAATTATTATTATTATTATTTTATTTTATTATTATTATTATTATTTTATTATTATTATTATTATTATTATTATTATTATTATTATTATCATTATTTATTTTATTATTATTATTATTATTATTCATATTATTATTTATTTATTTTACTATTATTATTATTATCATTATTATTATTATTATAATTATAATTATTATTATTTATTTTATTATTATTATTATTATTATTATTATTATTTATTTTATTATTATTATTATTATTTATATTATTATTTATTTATTTTATTATTATTATTTATTTATTTTATTATTATTATTATTATTATTATTATTATTATTATTATTATTATTATTTTTATTTTATTATTATTATTATTATTATTATTATTAATATTATTATTATTATTATTATTATTATTATTGTTTATTTTATTATTATTATTATTATTATTTTATTGTTAAAACACAAAAGTCTGCAGCTTCACTTCGACTGATTTAAATGATTTAATTTAATTATAAATCGTCTCATAATGAGCTCAGATCCACCAGACCAGAGAACCACAAAACCGTCTTTAGTCCAGAACCAGGAAGTTGGCAGGTCTGAGTTTGACCCTCAGTCCGTCCGTACTCTGGACCGTGGGTCAGGTCTCCGGGTCAGAGTTAAGGTATCACATGACTGAATAAATATTCGGACCGCCATCGGGGGTGAGAGAGGGGGAGGAGCCCAGCATATGAGTGAGAGAGAGGGGGGACACTCAGAGGGTCTGTGGACAGGAGGAGAGAGGAGGAGATAGGAGGAGATAGGAGGAGACAGGAGAGGACAGGAGAGGACAGGAGGAGACATGAGCGTCTCCTCAGGGGTCCGGGTTCTCTGAGTTGGTCCGCTCTCAGTCGCTCTTCAGGTGAAAACAGCCACGCCCACCTGAGCAGGTGACACTGAACACCCATGAATGTGTGTGTGTGTGTGTGTGTGTGTGTGTGTGTGTGTGTGTGTGTGTGTGTGTCTTCATCCTCCATGACCTCATCGCCTCCCTGCATGCTGTGGATCACATGGTCACCCTCCTCCACCACCATCCATCCATCCCTGTGTTGTGATTGGTTCATCCTCATGTGGCGTCCTGTCATTGGTTGTTTGGCTGACCTCAGGACCACAGCGGCGCCCTGCAGGCCGAGGAGTTCAAAGCGTGTCTGATCAGTCTGGGCTACGATGTGGAGAACGACAAGCAGGTACTACAGGAGTCTGAGTTAGGGCGACCTCAGAGGGCGGAGACAAATCACCGCCACCGCCGCCGCCGCTCTGAGGTCCAGTGTCAGTCCGTCAGCATGGAGGGCAGAGATGTTCCGTTCCTGTTTGTCCACCGGGGGTCTCTGTTGCTTTGTGCTGCTTCTGCTCCACCTGGCTCCCTCTCACTCTGACAGGCTCCGCCCCCTCGTCTGTGGCGTTCTGTGGCGTTCTCGTTCACTTTGCTCTGATGTTAATCTGCGTTTCTCTTTTTTTCTTCATCTGTCTGATATCTCTGTCTCTGTCCTTCACCTCCTTTTTACCTCCTCCTCCTGCTCCTCTCTGCCATGTCTCCACCCTTCACCTCCTCCTCCCCCTCCTGCTCCGGCTCCTCCTCCCCCTCCTGCTCCTCCTCCTCTCTTCACCTCCTCCTCCCCCTCCTGCTCCTCCTCCTCTCTTCACCTCCTCCTGCTCCGGCTCTTCCTCCCCCTCCTGCTCTTCCTCCTCCTGCTCTTCCGCCTCCTGCTCCTCCTCCTCCTGCTCCTGCTCCTGCTCCTGCTCCTGGTCTTTGTGGTGGTCCACAGAAGCGATCAGGACAGATGGTCTCGGATGATTTCCGGGCTCTCCTCATTTCGACAGGAAACAGTCTGGTACTGGTTCTGCTGCTGCTTCATGATCTGGTCTCAGGGGGTCTGCAGGTCCACAAGGGTCCGGGTGTTCAGGGTTCGACTCTAACTTTGTTCTCCTGAGTTAAAAAAGTAAGGAGCACAAAGAACTTTAGGGGATCAATGAAAACTGATCAATAATGTTTGTCTTATTGATCGACCTTAGTACTATTATTAGAAATCAATTTTAGGTCTTTTGGTCACATGACAGTGAAGCTATTGAAGGAAAACAGCGTTTTCTGAGAACATCAACCGGTAATTTATTGACGGTCCCTTATTCAACACCGACGTTGACAGTGAGGGTGTCGAGTAGATTTAACCGCGCTGCTGTTGTTATTCCTGGTTATGGAGAGTGAGAAGACACCGGTAGATCCTCAGAGAATGTCCGTCAGATATCCAACCTGAAACTAACTTCACCGCCGTATTTACAGGAAAATATATCCAACCTAAAACTAACTTCACCGCCGTATTTACAGGAAAATATATCCAACCTGAAACTAACTTCACCGCTGTATTTACAGGAAAATATATCCAACCTGAAACTAACTTCACCGCCGTATTTACAGGAAAATATATCCAACCTAAAACTAACTTCACCGCCGTATTTACAGGAAAATATATCCAACCTGAAACTAACTTCACCGCCGTATTTACAGGAAAATATATCCAACCTGAAACTGACTTCACCGCCGTATTTACAGGAAAATATATCCAACCTAAAACTAACTTCACCGCCGTATTTACAGGAAAATATATCCAACCTAAAACTAACTTCACCGCCGTATTTACAGGAAAATATATCCAACCTAAAACTAACTTCACCGCCGTATTTACAGGAAAATATATCCAACCTGAAACTAACTTCACCGCCGTATTTACAGGAAAATATATCCAACCTGAAACTAACTTCACCGCCTATTTACAGGAAAATATATCCAACCTGAAACTAACTTCACCGCGGTATTTACAGGAAAATATATCCAACCTGAAACTAACTTCACCGCCGTATTTACAGGAAAATATATCCAACCTGAAACTAACTTCACCGCCGTATTTACATGAGAAAAAAAACATTTGTTGATTTTTTTATCGGCACATTTGACCCTTAATACAGTCAAAATTCACACACGTCTATTTTTAGTCGAACTGTTGAGACCTGAAGTGTCAGAAAATCTGGACTTCTGTCAAACAGCTGTCAGAACTAAGGACCGGGTCAGAACCATCGGGTGTAAAAACTGAAATAAGTCCAACAGAACCAAACTGAAGAATGACACGGGCCTTCAGAACTGAACCCTGACAGACCTGCAGACCTCCTGCTCTCTCTCGCCCTCACTCTCTCTGTAATGCTTTCCTCTCTCTCTTTAACCCCCCCACTGCTGGTCTGTCTGTCTGTCTGTCTGTCCGTCTGTCTGTCTGTGTTTGTGTGTCTGTGTGTTTGCATGTGTTTAGGAGTGACCTTTAACCTCTTCACCTGCTCCGCCTTCTTCCTGGTAGCCCTGATGGTTTCATCACTGATACTGTCTGTAACTGTGTCTGTAACTGTGTCTGTCTGTGTTAGTGCTGGGCGATTAAATGATTGAAAATTAATTTCCCTCGATATCGATATAAAACATGATCAATACGGTTTTTCAATATTCGTCATTAGTTTAGTCCAGTTTAGTGGATTTATGTGGTTCTGCTGATTAAACAACAGTCAGTCCAGATCACAGCGAACAGAACATGAAGATGGAGGAACATGAGAGAGCGTCAGTCATCTTCACCGTAAACATGAACATATATGATAGAACTCTGAATATTAAGGACTGTAATCAGCAATCAATCATTTTACAGGTGAGAGGAAGTTTACCAACGATCCTCAAACGATCCTCTGCTGCAGGAGGAGGAGAACTAAACTAACACACACACACAGGTGCGGTGCGTTCATGAGTGTAGGACAAATGAAAACTCACCGTTAAACACAAAATAACTGAACAGCATTTACTTGAACCAAGTATCAACCAACTGCAGCAAAGTCGTAGCAGACAGCAGCTCCACCCAACCATAGCACTTTAACAGGTGAAGCCGACAGCACTGTTGGTGAGAAACAAAGAAAATGAGTGCTACCCCCGACAGAAATGACCATGAAGGCTCAACAGATGACCACATCAATGTCAACCACAACACTGGCGTTAGGAAAACGTCGGTGGTGTGGAGGTATTTTGGTTTTTGGAGGTCGGACATGAAGCAGAGTAATGTGGACTGTAAATTATGTCGAGTACATGTTCTCACAAAGTCGGGGAATACCTCAAATCTTTTTCACCACCTGAAGCAGCGCCACGCCGCAGAGCACGCGCAACGCAAAAGGTTACAAACCCCGAGAGGAGCGAGGAGCCCGTGGCGCCTGAAACAGACGACCATTCAGTCGTCTTTCTCTAGAGCGACGCCTTACGACAAAACGCCAAAGAGACACAAAGACCTCACAGATGCAGGAGATTATTGTGTTGGAAAAGACATGAGACCAAGAAACACTGTTACAGTTTTATATCCTGATATTGATCCATATCAGCTGATAGGAAATCAATAATATATCCTGATCAACTTCATATCGCCCAGCTCTACTCTGTCCGTCTGTCCGTCTGATTGTCTGTGGTCGCCGTCTCTCGGGTTAACCTGTTGTTCTTTGGTTGCCAGGGCGACACTGAGTTTGCTCGCATCATGGGCATCGTGGACCCTAACGGCAGCGGCGCCGTGACCTTCCAGGCGTTCATCGACTTCATGTCGAGGGAAACGACCGACACGGACACCGCAGACCAGGTCATCGCCTCCTTCAAGATCCTGGCCGCGGATAAGGTCAGTGTGTGTGTGTGTGTGTTTGTGTGTGTGTCTCTGTGTGTGTGTGTGTGTGTGTGTGTGTGTGTGTGTGTGTGTGTGTCTGTGTGTGTGTGTGTGTGTGTGTGTGTGTGTGTGTGTGTGTGTGTGTGTGTGTGTCTGTGTGTGTGTGTGTGTGTCTGTGTGTGTGTGTGTGTGTGTGTGTGTGTGTGTGTGTGTGTGTGTGTGTGTGTGTGTGTGTGTGTGTGTGTGTGTGTGTGTGTCTGTGTGTGTGTGTGTGTGTGTCTGTGTGTGTGTGTCTGTGTGTGTGTGTGTGTGTCTGTGTGTGTGTGTCTGTGTGTGTGTGTGTGTGTGTGTGTGTGTGTGTGTGTGTGTGTGTGTGTGTGTGTGTGTGTGTGTGTGTGTGTGTGTGTGTGTGTGTGTGTGTGTGTGTGTGTGTGTGTGTGTGTGTGTGTCTGTGTGTGTGTGTGTGTGTGTGTGTGTGTGTGTGTGTGTGTGTGTGTGTGTGTGTGTGTGTCTGTGTGTCTGTGTGTGTGTGTGTTTGTGTGTGTGTCTGTGTGTGTGTGTGTGTGTGTGTGTGTGTGTGTGTGTGTGTGTGTGTGTGTGTGTGTGTGTGTGTGTGTGTGTGTGTGTGTGTGTGTGTGTGTCTGTGTGTGTGTGTGTGTGTGTGTGTGTGTGTGTGTGTGTGTGTGTGTGTGTGTGTGTGTGTGTGTCTGTGTGTGTGTGTGTGTGTGTGTGTGTGTGTGTGTGTGTGTGTGTGTGTGTGTGTCTGTGTGTGTGTGTCTGTGTGTCTGTGTGTGTGTGTGTTTGTGTGTGTGTCTGTGTGTTGTGTGTGTGTGTGTGTGTCTCTGTGTGTGTGTCTCTGTGTGTCTGTGTGTGTCTGTGTGTGTCTGTGTACTCACCGCTCTTCTTCTTCTTCTTCTCTCTCCATCAGAACTTCATCACGGCGGAGGAGTTGAGGAGGGAGCTCCCTCCTGACCAGGCGGAGTACTGCATCGCCCGCATGGCGCCGTACACCGGGCCTGACGCGGTCTCCGGCGCCCTGGACTACATGTCCTTCTCCACCGCCCTGTACGGGGAGAGTGACCTGTAGAGGAGGAAGAGGAAGAGGAAGAGGAGGGCTGGACAGACGGGGTGGGGGGGTGGGGGTGGGAGGAGACTCTGGGATGATTGACGGTTTGGAGAGTTGGCGTGGTTCTGAGGTTCTGAGGTTCCCCTGTGTGGTTTGGAGATCCTCCTCAGACCGGTGCGGACTCTGAGTTCTGGATCGGACTGGAGTTTGGGGTTTTTTTCAGCTGTTGTAAGGAATGGAAGGGGTCAAAGGTCAATGAGTCAGCGAGCGTCTTCAGGGGCGGCGGCGGGACGAGGGGATGATGGACGTCTGTCGAGCGAGTCCTTAGCTTCACCCGGTCTGCCTTCAGGGGGTCAAACGGGGACGGACTGGGGTTAAAGCAGGGAGGGGGGCGGGGCACAAGCTAATCCATACTTATGCTAATTTTTGTTTATTATGATTTTTTTCTTCTTGCCAGGCGGGGTCAAAGGGCGTGCAGTGGGGGCGGGGCAGTGGGGGCGGGGCAGTGTGGGGTTTGACGTGGCGACTGGCGAGGTTTGTGTATTAGAATCTAGAGAGATTTATGCTGCGGGGTCAGGGGTCAGGGGCGGGGATGACGGGAGGGAGGGAGGGGTGTTGACCAATGAGAGATAAAGTGACATATTTACCCATAATTCCCTTGTTGCTGGATAAGGTGACCTGTCTAACCTCAGCTCTTTTCCTCCTCCTGTCTTTGTTTATTTCTTTGGTTTTGTTTCCGGAGCAGGTGGGCGTGGGCGGGGCTGGGTGGCGGGTTGTGGGCGGGGCTGGGTGGTGGTGTGGGCGGGGCTCAGCGCTGTACATACTTGTTTTTTTCAGTGCAGAGATTGACACACGGTGACGGCGGTGTTAGAAATGATGCGCTCAGATCGAGCGAAGACGAGCGGATGAGAGCGACCTTCGCAGTTTCTACAGCCGATAGGTTTGAGCGTCCATCTTTGTTTGTTTTTCCCTTTTTTTTGAAAAAGAAAAAAAAAAGTTTGATGATTAAAAAAGTTTCTGACCATCCAGTCAAAGTTTCTCCATCACAGCGATCTTTACCTCCGTCAAACGTTCCCTCCTGCGCGGTTCGGCATCAGCTGCTCTTTAAACTAGAGAAGAAGAAGAAGAGGAAGAATATTTATGGTAGTTTAGACTGAAATCATCCGATTTATCCGGTTTTAGACTCGGGAAGCTGCACACGCTCTTATTCTGAAATACTCTCTGAATGTTCTGATTGGCTGGACGGAGGCTCGCTCACTTCCTGATTTTAACGTGCCTGATGGTTTCTACAGCCCTGTCCCTCTCTCTGCCTTCACCTTCTCCCTACCTCACTGTCCCACTCCTTCTCTCCCTCCTTCTCTCCCCCATCCCTCCATCTCTGAAGAAAAGGGAAAGAAAATTCACTGAGTGAAGAGGGCGGGGGAAATCAGGGCGGGGGTCTGTATGTAAACATTCCATTATGTGCAAATAAAAAGGAAAATTGTTCTGTAAAAACTATGCAATCATCACGTGTTCCACATCTGAGTTCCTGGGCGTCAATCTGAGGACATCTCCCGTCTCCAAAAACCAGAGGATATCTGCAGTGTTTGTCAGCGGTTAGGGGTGAGGAGGGGGAGACAGACAGAGGGAGGAACAGACGGGGAAGGAACTGAGAAGAAAAGACTCGGACCAAAAGCTTGTTTCTTTTTTTTTTTCTTCGTTCTCTTTTTTTCCTGCGAGGTTGGAGAACTCTGGAATTGTGATTTTCCTTTTTTTGTACTCTTTAATATCAAACCTTATCTGCTGTACTGGAAACTGCAACGCCTTCTGTCTCTAATGATAAGTGAGTTTCACAGAGCACACATAAAGTTTCCTTACAAAATATCTCTTCTCATGTCTTCTTTTCTCAAACCGTCGGTGTCCCGTCAGGAGAAACTGAGGAACAGAAATCCTCTCAGTCCTCTGAAATATTTGACCTGATAAAAATTCATTCATTTATAAAAACGCTCTCGTCTCTCGTCTCACTCGTTTTACTGTCAGCCATCATTTGTTCCTGAAATATTTGATGATTTACTCTTAGTTTGTTTTTTCTCCATCGTCTTTCAGCGACTCTCTATTTTCTTTTTCAACAACAACAAGTGAGTTTGTGGTTCAAATGATCAACAATAAAATCCGATGGAGAGGGTCAAACACCTCTGAGGACATCAGGTTAAAATCAGCAGATACTTCAGACACTCGGGGATAAGATCCTTTAAAAAAACACAGAAGTGATCGGACTGACCTAAAACAGAGGACGCCGTCTCCGATGGACCAGGAGGTCTACGGCGTGTCCTCTGTTGTGGGCGGGCTCTGACACTTTATTCAGTTAATTAGATAAAAACATTCAGAGCTGAAAGAGTCTGATTGACTGTCCACTTAGATATTAAAACCCCCTAAAATGATGATAATGATGGAGGAGAGCGGTTCTGAAGACGATCACCTGACCTGTAAACAGCTGCTACAAACAAAGAAGTGATATTAAAATAAAATCAACAAATAAAACCAGGTGGAGCTAAAAGAAGTGCTGCAGCCCCCCACCCCTCTACCACTTCTAAAAGAATATAGATCATGAAACTGAGAACCGCAGGTCTCAGATATAAAGTCAGTGTTGTCGTGTAAAATAAGGTCGTTAATTAAAAGTCTAGTTTAAAAGGAAGCGTACATTTAAAAGTGTTCAGATATCTTCTTGATGTTTGTGGTCGATGAGCAGGAGGACGGTCTGTTTTTTCACCTGTTTGAGGTTGTTAGGATCAGGTCAGGAGTTTACGGTGTGTCGTCTGGTGATCGCAGGAATGGGGGGTCTGTGGGTGGAGGAAGGTGGTGCTGTGGGTGAGGGACACAGACTACAGGACGGTTGTTAGGGGTGAAATGTAAAACAGTTCCCGGACAGTGTGGGACGGATCCTGGCTCCTCATGAAGTTAGTGTAAAGACGTTAATAAAGAGCAGAATCATGAGTGAACGGCTAAAGTGTTTGGAGGTAATAAAAGAAGACAAAAAAGTGGAAACTATGGAAACGATAGGAAATCTATCAGGAAACAGATTAAGACGAGGTCAGACTGGAAAAAATAAAACTATGAATTTAATCTGAAAACATCCAACAGGGAGACGTGAGGATGAGACTGTGGAACATGTTGAATGTCAAAAATATAATAATATTAATAATATTAATAATAATAACAATGATAATAATAATAATAATAATAATAATAATAATTATTATTATTATTATTATTATTATTATTATTATTATTATTATTATTATTATTAAAATAATAATAATGATAATAATAATAATAATAATTATAATAATATTATTATTATAATGATGATGATGATGATGATGATGATAAAAGTAATAATAATAATGATAATAAAGAGGAGTTAACTTAAAGAAATTAGAGAGTTGAACCTTCAGAGTTTCTTTCGTCTGAGAAAAGGAGAAAATAAATCAGGGTTTGAGTTTTTTAAGTAAAGAAGTATTGAAGGACCTCTGCCTCACACTCCTGCTCGGTAGGGGGCGGTAATGCTCCTATAACGTTGGTTTCCATCCGCCGTAAATCAAGAAGAAGCAGCAGGTGTGGTGGTTTACCTGAGGATGGTGCACGTGGGTGGGGGACCATCACCCCTAAAGCTCTCTGCTGCACCTGAACAGGTTAGAGTTGTGGGTGGAGCTAACACCATGAACAGGAAGATGACGTCCACGTGTGCAGAGACACGCCCACAGCCGCGGTCACAGGCGGGAATGGAGATCTGGATCTGTGGTTCCCGGGTCTCTGGGGTGTTGTTGGTTTTCAGGAGTTCGGACTGCTGGACCCACCTGGACTAGAACTGTGGTGGTTCCTGATCCGGTCAAGAGTACCCAGATGCAGCGCCAAGATGGCGGACCCAAAGATAAAAAACCACATTTACAAAACGCAATAAGTTTCCGCATTACCTCCGATTGGCGGACCCAAAACATGAACTTTGAACTTCTGCTTTGCGATGCCAGAACAGTAGGTGGCGGTATGTACCTACACTTTCTGACGGCAAAATTTACAGAAGAAGAAGAACTCTCAGGAAGTTTGAAAAGAAGCAAGCCGTCCGCATTCATTCAATCTCACATCCGACCACTCAAACTAACCCTAACCCTGCATTCCATTGTTTCCATCATGGGAAATCTAAGTGACGCTCTCAAATTAACAGGAACATTGCGCAGAAGATATGTCCTGGGCAATGGACTGAGAAAACGGGCAGAGATTTGGAGGTATTTGTGCATGCTCTATATTACAGTTGAAAAGTGTATAACAGCTTTCCAATGCTGTTACTTGTGGCGAACACCTTTTTGCTTGAGTTGATGCGTGCCCGCAGGTGGAATAATGTCACATGTCACACACATTTTCTGTTGTTTTGATTTATTTACTCATTCATCATTTTATGTGCGCACCTCTCCTAATCAACCCACCCATTAAATAGACAGGCACAATAGCACCATCTGCTGGCACAAAAAATACATAACAATAAACTGCAAAACCCCAATCTGGCTCCTACAAAGTGTATGTGACAAGATGATTAACGTTTGCTTTTGTTAAATCAGGGCTTCCCCAGCCAGGACTTCGGCTCAGACTGTGGCATATTCATGTTGATGGTAGGTCATAACGAGCTGTAATGCACAAATATTGTATCTAGAATAACTTTCCAACATGGACTTTTTTAAAGTTATCTCACATGTTGTCTCATAATTTTTTTTTTAAAGTCTGCCATGTACATCGTTATGGAGTCACAGTTTGACTACTCAGTTGTAAGTACTTTTCAACACGCAGTGTCATCCTCAAGATTGTATTTTGTATTGTGCACTAAAATGAAATACAAACAACAATTTCAGCATGACATGCCTGTTTGGCGGCGATGGTGGTGCCTGTTGCTCCTGGAGAACAATTCTTTGAACAGGTAGACAGTTTAAGTAAACTAGATGTCCTAATTAACTGGAAGACAATCAATATATTGTACTTAAAGACATATTGTCATTACAGTTGTGGGAAAATCTTCGCCCACTGGACCAAAGAATGTCAAGAGCTCATTGCTGGAAAGCATACTCCGGTCTTCAGTCTAAAGAGGAAGGCAGAGCAGCAGGACACAGAGGTTAGGAAATTGCCTTGTAAAAACAGTATTATCTCAGTGGGAGTCCTTCAAAATGCACACAGTTGTATGGATCAACATTGTCTCGATGTATTTGGTAATTGATGTTACTTTTCAAATTGCCTTGTCAAGGAAACCATGACGCAGACGGTATCGGATGTCCAAAGAATGTGCATGGCAGATTCAATGCAATTCTGTGTCTACCAGACATCGAACAACACAGGAGAGAGGTGTGTTGCAGACTCAATTTAATAAATGCAATTATCGGGGCCTATTCAGTGATTTTCCATGAAGTGACCACTTTTACATATAGTTTAAATGCACGAATCATGCAGGAAAATTATTTATACATTCAAATGTGCTGCAGAGGTTTAATCAATTGGACAGCGTGTTTGTTTGATATTATGTTTGTCTCTCATTTGATCAGATTGCTTTACCCTGAGGTAAACGTCATAAAATGGGTCCAGTGCAAGACGTGCAGGGGCTGGCTGCATCAGGATTGTGCTGGGATTGAAATGGAGCCGTTTGACTGCGGCTGCGAGGACTCCATTGAGCATCCTCGGTATAACATAATTTATCAAGGAAACATAGTATCAGTCAAAAATACGAGGCTCAAAGGATGAAAAAATGAGGGCTTGCTCTTTTCTTATTTCTCTGCAGGATCAAGGATGCTGTTGACAGTTGAGGAATTCATGCTGTCTTTTCTAAGACACAGATCAAGGTTGCTTTTGAATGCACTATCAGTTGTTAAAGCCACTGTTTCTTTTTCAGATGATTACATTTTTGTCTCTTGCTCTTTGGTTTCAGACATTACACGATGATCTACTGTCTGGAAAGATCCGCTCCAACAGGATGTTTCTTTGGAGGAATCCCGCCACCTCACTCCGACTAAAGCAGCATCTTAAGATAAGGACACTAAGTTGGAGTGAGCAGCGCGTAAGTAAAAATGCCATCCATCATGAGTATTTTTACTCTCAGGGGTGTTACATTTGAAAGGTGTTTACTTTCTGTGTTTTTCTTCAATAGATGTTCGAGCTCCTGCGGTTCATTGAGGTGGCAACAAACATTTCTAAAAAAATAAAGAGAGGCGAGATTCATCTGCTTGATTTCGTTTTTGACGTCATGCTCCCAGAGGTGAGTAGATCAAACTATATAGCTTGCTTTGAAAAATGATGATATTGTTAAGAGGTTGTTCTTATTCATTTGGAAAGCTCAAGAACAACAATTAACCCATACTGCATAACTTCAATTGTTCACATTATTTGACTGTTTTTCAGCTTTTGATCAAAGCACTGAAGGAGCATGGCATCAACCGGTTCAGAGCAGAGCTGATGATGGCCTGTGGCAACGTGTTTTAAGCCCCCCACCACACCGACGGCAGTGCTGAATTTTGTATATATATATTTTTTTTTACTGTTCACAATTTTGTTTGGAAAAAATTAAAGAAATCTTCAAAGCAGTTGTATGACAATTTCCCATTTCTTTACACAGTCTGTAATGATATCGCTATTCAATTGTTTTTGCTATATGGCTCTTCTGAACCTTAAAGAGATCATGTGACTTGTGTCTCTACAACTATTGTATACTTGGATTTTGCACAGTCAAGCAATCCTGAAGAGGTTCACCAGGAAGCACACCATTTCATAAATGATGTCCCTGGTTACACAATGTTACTAAAGGATGGGGGGAGTAAATTTGTGCAGCAACATAAGCACTCTCATAAAACATAATTATGAACAACAGAAAATATGTGAGGGTCAGGGCAACATTGTTGACATTAAACGAGGTCCTAATAGGAGTGGAGAAACAAGGTCACAGAGAAGTTAAGAAACATTGATGTGCTGTGTAATAAAGCTATTGGAGAGAAAAGTTAGAAAACACTGTTATATGATGTGTAACGAGAGGTTAAAACAGTCCATACTTGTAGCAAACTCTTACAAAAGAATTTGAGTAAGATGATAACTTCTACATACATTTACCTATTCTGACAAATTATCAGAATATGAGGACATCAGGCTATATATACATATTACTGTAAACTTCAGAATTAAATCAGAACAAAACAGTAGTCATAATTAATACATAAACGTTTTATTTTGATTTTTAGCTCAATAATAAATTTAATTCGATTCTTATGGAATGAACGGAGCAAAAAAAAAGGATCCGGCGACTAAATCCGACTACCTGAAGTATTTCGGCGCCGGAAGTCCGCCAACGAGAAAGCCTTTCCACCGGAAGTAATTGTTTTGGGTCCGCCAATCGGAGGAACTTATTGCGTTTTGTAAATGTGGTTTTCTATCTTTGGGTCCGCCATCTTGCGCTGCATCTGGTCACCTCTCGATCCGGTCGCGATGACCTCGCGGGTTCTACTGGTTCTGTCGCGGACTGAAGGTCCGGGAAAACAAAAGCCAGATCAGAGGTTCCGGATAATGGAGTCCCCGATCACTAGAGTCGGAGGCTGGGGCTACTTCCCCTGGATGAGGTGGGTCGTACCGGTCCGCGGTGTCCACCCGAACCGGCGGAGGCTCCGACTGGACCCGAAGACAGGGGCTCCGGTGATGCCGGACCTGGATCGGCAGGAGGCTCTGGGTTCTTGTTCATCTTTCCCAGAACTAAGAACCTGTTCCCCGGTCGGATGGTCTCTGATGGAGGAGTAGAGCCAGATGGAGGAGTTCGGGATCTTTCCCGACCCAGAATGACGGTCCAAGGGTCCCTGGAATCAGGTGTGGAACAGATCCGAACTGTCGGTGTCGCTCCAAGCCGAGGCCGGTCCTGGTCGTCTCCCTGGATGGACTTGAGGATGGGGTCGGAGATGAGAGGAGGTCCAGACTAGAGACGGGAGGTCTCCAAAGAGTCCATTTGACGTTCGGAGATGGTCCGGTCCGGTCCACTGAGTATTTGGTTCTGATGATAAAGTTAATTAATTTATAATGTTTATTAATCAATAAAGTTAATTAATCAATAAAGTTAATTAATCAATAAAGTTAATTAATTTATAATGTTTATTAATCAATAAAGTTTATGAATTTGAACAGAGAAATCCTGTCAACTTAAAATCCACCATTTTCTCTGCTGCTGTTCCCACTCAGTCCACATTTGATCTTACTGTCTCAACATCCAGACTCTGGAACAGATTATTCATCTGTCTGGGTTATTATTATAATAATAATAATTAGTAGTAGTAGTAGTAGTAGTATTATTATTATTATAATGATTGTTGTTATTATCATTATAATGATTCTTATTATTAGTATTATTATTATAATGATTGTTATTATTATTATTATTATTATTAGTATTATTATTATAATGATTGTTGTTATGATTATTATTATTATAATTATTATTATCATATAATGATTGTTATGATTAGTATTATTATTATAATGATTGTTATGATTATTATTATTATTATTATCATTATAATGATTGTTATTATTATTATTATTATTATTATTATTATTATTATCATTATAATGATTGTTATGATTAGTATTATTATTATAATGATTATTATGATTATTAACTGTGATTTTTCTGATGAACTGTTGAATGTAAAAGGACTTTGGTAAAAAGACGTCCTCTGTTCTCTGTCTTTCCTGATGAAAACGTCTCTCTGTCTCCTCAGGCTCTTTATCTCTTATTAATCACATCAGCTGCAGCTCCTATAA